TGCGAAACGCCAAAATATGGTGCTAGGATATTCTAGAAACAATTGGTTGCTTGCGGTAAAACAACTTGTGTTCATGCCTAAAAGAACACGTGTCGGGGAAATCATTAGAAAGACAAGTGTACCCACCAAAAAACCAAATGTTTCGATAATGGTTAATTTTTGTTAGTAGAGTCCAATTGTGCATATCCGAAGACGAATTCATGAATCCTTGGTAGACATTCCAAGTCACAGCCATTGGTGACGCCGAGATGTTGACAAAGGATGAGACGAGAGCTAATTGGGTGCTTGGGTTGATGTATTGAAATTTGCCCTTGTATGAACACATAGTTGAGATGGTACATCTAGGTATATAGAATATTTATCCTTTCCGACGATTTAACTGCATTAGAAATCAGATTCCAAACAGCTTTATAGCATTGTATTCAAATTTGAGGTTCAATGAACTTTTGTTTGTAGGAACTATGAAGACTTACTTGACTACTAGCATCTTGGAACGAGTATTCACAACTTTAACCAGGAGATAACCAGTGACTGAAGTTCTAGTATTATAATGATGTTCCATAGTCACTAAAAACTGGTATGTTCGATTGACTACTAGTGAGTGGCTCATTATGGTCATCGATGATCTCAATTCACTTGAATTGTATTGCCACGGTTTTATATTACCTACATAGAAAAAACCAATTCAGCAGATATGGAGATTGGCATAAAAAATCATACTTGATTGAATCGAAAAGCATGAATTATTGTGAGAAGGAATAGCATCATCATCGATCAATGTAGGGAATTCAACAGTATCGGAAACACCATAGATTCGACAGTAATAAATGTAGTTCCATTGCTATCAGTACAAAACTGGTTACTTGTTGATTTAAAAGATGTAATTGAAATGGATATTCACTTATTTTGCATCACAAGCTATTTATTTCTGCTACGTTATCATAAGTTTCAGTCAGCTTATGTACAAAACTCGAAAAGAAAACAAATAATATGCAACTTGAAACATCAATTCAACTTTTCATGCTTCCAGTGAGATTCGATGCTTTCGTGCTTTGCACGGTGAGACATAAGAAATGTTTGAAGAAGTAAATAATGCAATTTACAAGTTCAATGCTTGAATACTTCAATTTTTGTGATGTTTAATAACAGCACAGTAGAGAGAACATGAGCAAATATCAATGCTATAGAGAATACTCTATTTTGTATCAGTTGTAACTGATTCCTTGATCTCATACTATTTCAAGCAAGAATATGTTAGGACATTGAAAATATGAAGAAACGAAATTTTCTAATCTCCTTTGAGATGCTCTGCGCCTCTCGATCTTACATCCATGACCTTAGTCTTTTCAGATGGATTAATACTCCAAACTTTTAGCTCTACGATACTATTTATTCAAGGAAGTCACTGGCTAAAATCTTTGACGAAATTCAATTTTTATATGGATTCGTACTGACTTTGGACGTATATGAGCTGAAGTTTTCAACATTCAAAAAATAAAGGAGATATTGCTCAAAGAATATCAATATCGTATTTCTTTTTCTTATTTGTCTGCATGAAAAAATTTTCTACTGCTGCAAATCACAGATTCTACTTAAAAAATTCAACTACTGTGGTATGCGTATAACTTCTGAGCGGCATAATATGAAGATGTTGGACTTGTATGGTTTTGCAGATCTTGTGTTGGAGTGTCTCTAACACTTTTTGTATTTGAGAATCAGCTTAATTTCTAAAGGACTTTGCTTTCTATCTCGATTTTCATTACTCGATAAATACCTGTGAAGCAATGCTTTCTATTATTGAATGAAACACCTCAGTAAAGTTGCATGTCTTGAACAGTTTGCACAGAAGCTTTCTACCTTGTTCTTCTTAGAGCTTATTGAAGAAATTTTTATTTTTTTCCTAATTTGAAATTTGTATCAATATCTTATTCCATTGTTTTACTGAAAAACAAAAGTCAGGACTTCTGCCCTTCAACAATAAAGAATAATCCGTCTGTTCCTGGTGTCAGATTTGAGTCTAAATAGTACTTTCTGCTATCAGATAGAGATTTTTTATTGAGACTAATAGGTATCTGAGATGCACTGAAACCTATTGTTTGTCTTTCTCAATTTCTTCTCATGAGTTATTCCCTTTTTTTGCCGAAAGAAAGAATTATAAGCTCTATTAAATAATTGTTTTAAGTTGAATGGCAGAATAGACATGGCTGTTTGGAAAAAAACGTATATTATTCATTACTCACAACAGCACTTCGCACATATAGACTACAAGGTAACAGAGTGATATTTCTCGGGGTAAATAAAATTGCATATGAGCTAAACAATAATAATAGAACATGCAGAAATTTGCACAGTCGTTGGATTCTGGTGAGATTGGGGGCAGAAGATTCTTTATGCTCTTTGTAATCTTTTACGGTACTTAACGAGCATTGTGCAAGCTAAGACCATAGTTAAAATGATAAAGGCCAGATGTCGCTATGACAGCGATTTTCAAACAGATTCGCAAAAGTGTTTTCCGAGAAGATATCAAGGATACAATGTTTTCTGAAAATTTTTTATATCATCTTTTACTTCTTCACCAGTTTTATCTTGAGAGTATGGATGTGTATGTGAAATTTTTCTGTACTCTAGCACTCATACCTGTACTTTGATTGAGTTTAACTAGTGATTTTTGTCTGAATTCGCTCACTTACCTTTGTTGAATGTCTAATGAATTGTGTTAGACTCAGAATCCTATTCTCTATCGAATAATACTATTCTCAATAGAGGTCATTAGACAAAAGATTCCACTAGTTTGTGGATTTGGGTGTAAGGTGAATTTATTATAGAATGACTGAAAGTGATGGCTTACCATTGGAATCTCTATGAATCACGTCGATGATGTGTCCGAAATGTTGCTTTTGACGATTGTACTCTCCTCAACAAGGTTACCTTTACCAGTAACCATTTTAATGCTCACAAACACAAGCACATTCAAGGGGGAAAAGGCGAGATTCCAGTACTCCAGTGTACTCCCTGTACTCCCAGGCTGTACGATAACTATGCTTTAACAAGTTGTACATATTTCAAGCCTACTACCCACCTGTGTTACGGTATATTAGTGGAAGTACAGTCGGTACAAGTTCATCTCACAATAAAGCTAAAATACTCCGTTTTATTTCATTGACTTTCAATTCTGGAGTACGATGAAGTATTTTGGCTTTATTTTCATATGGACTTGTGCCAGCTGTACTCTGACTAATATACCGTAATACAGGTGGGTAGTAGGCTTGAAATATGTACAACTTGTTGAAGCATAGTTATCGTACAGCCTGGGAGTACAGAGAGTACGCTGGAGTACTGGAGTCTCGCCTTTTCCCCCTGGGTAATTTTCCATTCAATAACCTCCAAATGGTACCATTCGATAAAGAACTGAATTCTCAGACTTACAAAAGTATTTAGACATCCAACACAAGCGAGTGAGCGAATCGGAATAGGAAATATGCGGATCTGCTGCTAGCTTTTCCAACTTTTTTTAGACGGAAATTTTATGTGGAAAACAAAGTTAACTGTATTGCAAAGCTCGAGCATTTCTATCTTTTGATTTACAAAGGGAAATTTCTTGCTTTCAGAAAATAAAAGCCAAAGCAACAAGCTGTAGTAGAAACTGTTCTGAAACAACTATTAAAATGTGTAAAAGTTGGACAAGATGGTGGTTATTAGCATTTTCTTCAAACAACTGGTTAACGAATCTCTTGATGAAAATAGTCTTTATTTTTGTACTCGATGAAAGTCGGAGTTGTGTATGTAACAAAACTACTGTTGAAAAATAACATTAAAATATTAGGTATTTTTCTACCGAAAACATTTAATATAGATGAACTTACTGCTTTATCAAAGATATTTGTATCGGGATCGACAGAGAATGAACCTGGATCAAGTACTAGGTTTTGCTGGTGATCGTGCGTGATCATCGACGTTCCAAATGGAACTAGGTTAGGTACAATAGCAGATGGGATGACCTTGACATAGGTGACTACTGTTGTAGCCAGCATCGAAAACTGAACCATCGTTACGATCAATTGCAGTTCATATATACCGTACTCCAGCGTTTTTGCTGGTATATAAAACTCGCTCAATGTGCTGATAGCAGAATGAGGCAGCGACATTGGTGTCGAGCAATTTGTAGTACAATAAGTCATAGTCCATTTTGAGACTGCCTCCATTGAGACGACACAAAAGATCTCAATATTTGCCATGATATACAAATCTTGGCTTCGACGAATTTCAAGAGGTCTTTCGAAAGATGATGATTCTGGATAAATTATAATGCTGGGACGTGAACAACCTACATACGAAAATCCAGGATCGATGAACAAGTTCAAAAATTAGTAAAATGATGATTTTTTATTCAAATGGTCATGCTGTTTTCCAATAAGCTTGAAAACAAAGGATAGAATTAGGATATTCACTATACGGTACCCTTGATTCCAGAAAAGGGAGCATATAAATATAAATATCAGCTAGTTGTTTCTTTCAGGTGCAAATTTCAGAAAACATGGAAACGTTTCCTCAAGTCTTTTTCACATATGACGAAAGCTATTTCTCTTTGTGTTCTTAATACTATCTTCTAGTTGACTTGGACAAAAAAAGGGACCGACTGCTTTCAATACATCTTCTATCATATAAGTTACTATTTTAAAAACTGTAACGTTGTTTTGAGGTTTTTGAAATAGTATTGGAAAGAAACAATATTAGAGTATAAAACGAAAAAGTGAAATACTTCTTTCGTTCCGTCTATTATATCTGTTATCCCATATATGAATGAAAAACATGTTCATTGTATCACTGTGTCCCCAAGACAAAAATTCCTATTAATCGAGTTCTATTCAATCAATTGATGTTATGAGTATACAAGTATTGATAATAGGTGTTTAGACAAATTTCACATTTTTATAGTGCGATAGGAATATCATTCACATTTCATTGAACAACTCAGTGAGAATTTTATCTTTTGTCCCAGCTCACATAGTATAGTGATATTCCAAAAAATGACCACCCAAAATCTTTCTACCAGCTGGAGAAAGTTTTGTTTTACTAATGAATTTGAGGAGAATATTTTTGAAATACTAAAAATGATACACTTGCCCTGTTGATCAACAGTCGATGGCATAGTCGTTGTTGTACTAATTGTTGATATGGTTGGAGCTGTAATTGAATTTATTTCACAATGAAGACCAGAATAACCGTTAGGACATTCACATGTATAATTCAATAATAATGGTCGACAAATACCTTGATTTTCGCATATAACAGTATCACAAAAGTTTATCGTTGATTCACAATGAATTCCTTGCCAACCATCGTCACATGTGCAATTAAATGTTGAATTTGATGTAACAGAACATATACCTTAAAAATAGATACATTTTCTCACTTTCTTCATAGTTAAACAAGAGAGAGTGTACCATGATTGAAACAAGTCTCTCGTTTACAAGGTCGATGGTCAATTTCACAATGAAAACCAGAAAATCCAAATGGACATGAACAAGAATAACCATCAATATTAGCCTGAGTATCTTCGCATGTTCCATTATTCTGGCATGGCTGAAGAGTATAACAACACGAAACACCGATCATTGTAAAATTACGGCAAACTATTGGTGTAAATGATGATGATGATAATAATTCGTCTAAAGAGTATAGACAAGTAGGATCGGATATTAAAGAAAAAAAGAACAAACCAACTTGTTGATGTTTCCATGAAGTCTATAAAAAAGTAGGATTCAATTTTCATTAGAAATTAGTGAAAAAGATCAATTTACCGTTTGAATTTTTGATCGAAGTAGCTCTTGGATCAGTGTTTGTGATCGTTGTATCTTGAAGAAAAAAGAAGTTTAGATTTTGAATCATATTACAATTCTCTTTTATTTTCATATTATCCGCTGTTTATTTTTATAGAAACAAATTCAAACCAATAAAGTATTGATGCTTGGTTGTATTCAATAGATTTGATCCAAACTATACTGAGATCATCAAATAGTTTACAGTGTTATACGACAGACCAATATAACAGAACACATATAGACGATTTCATTCGTTACTAATATGGTTTTGTAAAATCAGAACATGTATATTAAGTGCATTTTAGGCTGGCTTGAATATCATATAACTACTTTTCCTATAAAAACATCAGCTGAGCCTGTGAACGTTACTGAGCTTTAAATGGAGACTATATTCTTGAATGTTAAATAATTGATACTGTAGACTAGAGAAGCCGTGGAATACTTTTTTCAAAATAGAAATGATATTTCTGCTTTCGAATAAATAATAGTGAGGTGATCTTTCTAATAATTAAATTCTATTTAATCGACAATAATTGAAAATAAGTATATCGTTGTCATTTAAATAATTAATGGATTAGAACAGCAAGCTCAATAGAATAATTCTAACTAGAGAAGGATACCATCGTTTAAGAAAAGTTTTTTCAAACCGACTAAAATGTTGGCTATTAATAAAACTAAACAATCTATACTTCTCATTAAAACATCAGGGCGTTACGTAATGTTATAGAGGAGTCACAAAGAAAAGAGTGATAGACGAACTTTTCATGAAAATAATTAGATATTATTTTCGTCATCCAACAACTCCATTAGTTGATCACGATCGGCAGCAAATATTAGTACAATGTTTACTTGAGCCATCAACTACAAAAAATAAACTAAAAGATCTGATCAAAAATTGTGGACTTGATACTTGTGCTCGTTGGACAGATGTCAGCGCTTCCGCTATCGACTTTCTAAGGTTACAACATGATGACCTACTGATGCTTTGCTTGGTTCCTACAAATTGAAGTAGGTACGATATATGCTGAACAACATTCTGAACCCGATGGAGACACGACTGTCTTTTACAAATACATCCCCATCACCCAAACACTTTTCGCTACCGTATTCATAGTCGACATTGTTCTTTCGAAGAATATTATTATTAGATTAAATATAGCCAAGATAACTGCATCAATGATAATAATCAATCAATTTTCTATTGATAACAATCAACACTTGAAATCTATTCTTAATTTGTCGAATATCTACTTAAAGTAGAAAATTTTTCTCTCTTTTCAACAATAGTGTCAATCATCTTCAGTAGTCTTTTGACTTTGGTATAGGCTTATCTTTGTTCGGACACAAGTGTTTCTGCGAAAAATTGTAGTAATGACAACTCAAATTGAGACAGTTTTTGTGAAAATTTGACTTTGCGACAATGCTCCCTTAAGGAGATACAGTTACATTTCGGAAGTTCAAAATTTAGGAAAAAGTCAACATTTCGATATAAATAATAACAGGTATAACTTTTATTGTATTTTGAAAGCATTTCAACGGATGTCAAAAAATATCCAAGCAGGTACGAAAATGTGCAAAATTTACAACTCTATCTAGCTATATATGACACAATGTTGTTATGCTTTAAAAAGGAAACAAAACAGTCATTATTTTGTGAACCTAACTGACTCTTTTTTACATTTTCATGAAAATTTTCAATTATCAGTTATTGCTCCATAGCTCTTCTATAACATCACGTAGCGCGCGGATTTTTTTTATGACAAGTGAAGATTGTCTACTTCTTTCATTAGTCCAAATTTCAGTCAGTTTGAAGAAACTTTTCTTCAACGGTGGTGTCCGTTAATGTTTCTGAACTGAATAATTGTTGGCTCATTTAAAAGTGAAATAAACTGATATAATAGTAAGAGTTGAAGGCACAGTCTTGTGTTCAGTTCAAAGATAGATTCAGATATAGCGCTTCGCCTTTTTGTTTAATAAGAATGACAGAATCGTTCAATGTTCTGAATAGTAATTGGAATGGTGAACAAACGTTCCTTTCTATTCTCATAACTCATTTTAAGAAGAATACTACAAATGAATGGCATGAATAATTTTCTAGAACAAATAATTGGTTTCAAAATATGATATTGAAATGAAATGAGTTATAAACAACTTTTAAGAAGTTCTAGCCCACGAAAAATATCCTTTCATTAGAAAATACTGATATCTTCAAGCATGGGAATGATCGACAAACAATAGTCTAGATGATTTGTTTTAGTAGAAATAAAAAAATTTAAATAGCTAAATTTTCCGTAAATTTGTTCCTGAAAGTTCATCTATGAAAAAAAAATTTATTTTACTATATAATTCTCAAGGTCTTTCAAAGATCTCTCACTTCAGTCGATCAAAAGTAGACAAAATTTTGAATAAATATTTTGTTTAGAACCTTTAACACTATCCACTATATGATTTCTATTAGTACAGTTTTATATTAATAACTCCTAGAATTTTAATTATTGAATTAAATAAATAATAGAAACGACTAGAAAGTACAAGTAATTTCAATATTTTTTATCACTACTGATTTTTTACAAATTGAATTCTTTATGTATAGAATTTGTCGTTCATCTAGACTTTTTTGAAAAGTAATACTCTTGGGAATTTAGATACACATATTGATTAACCTTACCGCTTCAGCTACACCTACAGCCTTTATAAAAGCGGACTCTCAACTTCGTGAAGCTCTAAAAATATACTGCCAGTACCCGCTTGCATATTCAAATCTCAGCACTCATCAAAACGGTGTAACTAGCAAAGAACAAGCGGAAAGCTGATCCAATTTATAAAATAATACTGTATTATACCACCAAGTGAATATTTTGATTTTAATTGTGCTGTTCTTTCAATCTGTTTAGGTTTGTGCAGTTCAGAAAATATATTGATCCTAATTGAGAGCAATTGGTGTCGAAAAAATGAGATCTAACGTTTCTATAATACCTAGCTGTGAAAATCTACGTCGAAAATGGTTACAAGTGTCTCTATTATTGTATTGACGTATCACTGATTCACAAATCGAAGCCGTACGGCAGGAATTGACAGGGGCCAGCGATTTTCCAACGATTTTCCCGGTAGCAGTATTCTGTATTGTCCCGGTGCTGGAATCCTTTTCAGTTCTCGTCAATCCTACATCAGGGTCCGAGTATTATACACGGCATTTCCAGCACGTTTCCGAATTACAGCTACCGAGCCTTATCTCGATACAAGAATCTGGGTCATGTTTCACCTAGTTTGTGGCCTGTTATTTAGTTCAGATCCGATCGTAATCAGCATAGATTTTAAGTTCGAATCTACTACGTGGCTGTCACAGGAAAGGCTATAAGTGTGAGTTTGATCAAGTTGTTTACTCAAACAGTCCCACACACTAGCATCGAACCAACTCACACCCGACTTCCTGCTTGAATGCGTTATGCGTGTAGAACGCCTATATGTCATACCCTCTCTTTCACGCAGTTTTGGAAGTCAATCACAGGTGGGTAAAGTAGTTCTTAAACTTCTTCAGCAATTTCCAAGAATAGACTCTCGAGACTCATTCCTTCGGAAATTCTGTGTACAAAAACAGTGTATATGTCATGCCTTATATTCAGAGCCACTCGCACAGTCCTAAAAAGAAGAGTAAAAAACTTGTTGATTATTTTGATCGATTTTGCAGCATGAACTTCTGAAACTTCCTAAATCAGACGCGCGATGTGTAAGGACAGTCCCTCTATCGTGCCTTTTAATCAGGATCATTTGCCAAATCATGAGAAGGCGACTGAAAAATGTGGATATGAATGTTGCGTGTGGGACGACTGTCTTTTTGACAATGATTCACATACACACCCTCATTATTATTCTGAATGAGACCAAGAAAAGTATATAAGGATCATGTGACGTCATACTAGTTTAATGAATTTTTCTGGCTCACAATCAACTAGAAAAAGACGTAAAGGATTATTTAAGACAGATTTCTTCATCTTTCTATTAAATACTAAATATTGAAACAGCTATTAATAATTGCGACCGAGCTCAATTAGACTTTGAAGAATTTCAGAAAGTATGCGTTAGAACTTATTGTAAATTGAAAGAAAACATATGAAAATTTTTTTCCAACAATATCTTTAAAGATAATTCCAAGAATACTAGTTTTTAATCATGATTCTCTTTAAAGTCTTAATCGAAATGATGCTGTTAAATGAATTAGTGAGTGAAAGTCCTCCTATACCGTAATGCAGATGAATAACTGTCAAAAATTTGAGACAGAGAATTTATCTGGTGCATCAACACGTTCACACTTTCCGTTAATATAATATTAGTAGATGAAGAAGTCCATTGACTGTGATTTCTCATCAAACGACAATGATATTATTAAGTTTGGTAGAAGAATACAAATGTTCTTATAAACATCAACCACATATAAAAGCTGAAAAAAATATAGTGACATTGTGAATCGGATCATTTGAATTTTAACAATCTTATGTTATATAAAAAGAATATTGAATGTACTAACCCGTAGAAGAGAAAGAAGATTCCATAGTAGAACAACCACGTAATTCGATATCATCAATGGCTAAACCATATCCTCTAATAAATCCATTGGTTGAAATCATCAATAGTACTACTGAACTATGTGTAGCTGTAAATGAAACACTCTGCTTTGACCAAGTCATGCTATCATACGTAGTTAGTCCTATTGTTTTATATTGTGCGAGTAAAGGACCATTAGTTGTAGCTGCTCGAACTTCAAAATTAACATCTATAATAAAACCGCTAATACGTGCTTTTGTGAAAACATTTGCCAAGTAAGCGGTAAATTCATATTGTAAACCAATATAAAGATTATTGATTTTGTAACTGATCAGCTGAAGATTGCCAGTATTCACAGTGACAAGAAACATGTACCCATTTGCATCATTCAATGTATGATCTAATGCTCCACTATGCCAAAACTGATTACCACTGGGAACTGCATTCACAAAACCAAATTGATCAGATGATAAACCACCACCAAATACCTGACTGTAAGATGTAGTGACGTTAAAATCAGAGGGCACTTTTTGGGAATATGTATTTAAACCTGATCCAAATGTAATCAAGAAAAGTGTTCTGTAGGTGGTCTTATCACCATCAGAGCATATACCAATAGATTCTATGAAAAGAAAAAGCATGAAATTATTTTTGAATTAGATTAAAACTGATTGTTTAAGAATATTTTGGGTATGCAAACTTCACAAAACGAAGCAATAGCACTCAAAAATTTATGGAGCTGGCATGTCAAAACAATGTTTAGACCGATTGTACATTCTTAAACTCAAGTTGATGACGCACTTAATTGATTTTGATACACAAATGAGGATAAATTTATCTCAAATGTTATCACGTGAAAAATAAAAAAGTTACAAGAAAAGTGAAATTGAATTGCATCTGTCTGCATTCTGACATTTCTTGTAGAGCTCGGACAAAAGTATTTGTATTTGTAATTCAATACAAATGCCTTTGTACTTACACATCAGCGCAAATAGCCGCCATGGTTGACTAGTTAGGTAGTTCGGCACGCACCCACAAAGTACTGTGTTCAAACCTCAGTAACATCACCCATGGAATGACTCTGGACAAGTCACTAACGGCTAAGTTGTCTCTAATGACTTATTCCACATGAATCATTCATACTATATCATTAGCCAGTATGTTGGGGGGAAGAGGTTGCAGATACCACCGTTTGTAAAAAGAAAAAGACGAAAGAACCCGGCTGCATGTGAAAACTATTAAATAACCGCGGCCGGCCTCTACGGGCGGTAAGCTTGTGGGACGTTATTATTATTATTATTATTATCAGCGCAAATATTTGAACTCCGTGCCTTATAGGAGTACGAAAACAAGTCTTTCTTCTTATTTCAACTACTTTTTCAGTTCCTATGAAACCACCAGTTATTCATAATGGTAGAGTTAGAAGTATGTTTCAATTATTCAAGATTGCCTAAGAAGAACGAAAGCATATCTCAAGAAAACTCTAAGCTTAGTTTTTTAATCCGTTTTCTGACCTTGAGTTGTTTCGCCCCTCTTACATATAAATGTAGCTAATAAGATGTAATACATATTCCAGAGGTGTTGCTTCTTTTTATTAAGATTAATTATTGAAATACTTCTAGTCAATATTTAGAAAATAAATATTGCAAAGATTTGACAATGCAGCGAAACAATTATCTTTTTGTATTTGTTGTGCATCAATCTGCATTTACTTAGACTTTTCTGAGTGTGGGTAAGAATTTCACTAATCTATTATAGTAACCAAATGAGTATTATTATGTATGGCTATCAATGCTCATGATGAAAAAACTCGAACATTAGACATTGACCAGTTTTGCAAATATCTCGTCGAGACTTCATCGATATATGATCGAAAACCAACAGCATTAACATATTTTTATTTGCGTTTAGTTTGTGAACTTGAAAATCTCACGGTACTCTAAAAAAACTCATCACTTTTTTCGCACTGAAGTAGAAGTGCAAGTAAAAAGCTTTCTATACTGTTGCATGTTCTAGTTTTGGTTTTTTGTTTACATGTCATTTTGATAGATGTCGAGTCACTTTTTGCTGTTCTAATAATGTATACTCGAGCTTTATTGAGAATCATTATTTTCTTAAAATTAACTCATGATAACTGAAAAGATCGAAGGTGGGAGAAGAAACGAAAAGAAGTTCAATAAATAAATTAACTGAAAGATTAAAGAGAGTTTAAAGGAAAAAATCGAACAACAAAAATTGTTTGAGTGTACATTTATCAAGTATTTGTCCAACTGTCAGGTGTTTTCAGTTTAGAAAAAAAAAGAGTCTCATTAAACAATGCATAGCTTTCAAGATTTCTTGAAATAATAAAATCATCAGATGACTATTTATATATTGATATTATAAATCAATCGGAATCTTTTGTAAAAGGAATGTTTACTGAGTGCATACAGAATTTGATTGACACATGTACACGTATATCTTAAAGACGCGGTCATCCGCTAATTTCTAGTATTTTGTTTGATTCCGAAGGTCTTTAGAAGAAACTTTTCCTTCTTCAGTCTATGGAACAAAAACAGAACATTTGATTTCGACTTCAAATTAGTTTTACTTTAAATTCTCGTGAAATAAAATGGTCAAAGCATATGTTTAGATAGTTTTTACACGATTTGGTAGATAAATCAAAATTCAATGTAAAACCTATGTATACGATCAGAACGAGGAAAACCTTAGCGATAAAACAGTTCTAAAAAGATATTTTCATTTAATCAAATTTTTGGAGCTGAGAAATTATTTTTATAAGCACATGACAGAAAAATGTATTAGTTTTGAACTTTCTTGTGCAATAGTTAGGAACAACATAAAGAGAAAAATAGTTCAAATTTTACCATAAGTAGGACAAGCACTAAGGACTAAGGATGATTGAATCTTATTTATTTTATATGTCAGAACTTTGATAAAAAAATATATGTAGACGATTTTTTTTGTTATTCACGATTTCTACGTTGATAAATTGTTAGACATCAAAGTTTATATCTCTAATTTTTTTTTTGATATTTTGTGCTCTAGGTATTTTTTCTTTCGTCATTAATATTTCTATAAATGGCTTTCAAAAATTTTCAACTTCGATTTCCTCAGTAGTCGAGTGTTGATTTGGGAAGATAAGGATTCTCACTGAAACTCGGATAAGTATTATCTGAATCAAGAAAATTCTCTCCATAGATGATAAGGTTTTGTGTTCGAAAGTCTATAATAAATCTCTTTATCCAAAAGAAACAGGCTTGCGTAACCGAAAAAGCAACCAGAAATAGTGCGCAAGCATATACAGATTCTGATTCCTGGATTTCGGCAATATTTAATCAATTTGTTTGAAATAATCAGTCTGGTCTCAGAATAGTATTGGCCTACCAGAGAAAACAGCCTGACAATTTTCTAAAAATAACTTTAGTCCGATGAAAAACCTAGTAGACTTATTATAATTATAGAAAAATACGTATCTACTTATTAGACATCATTAATTAGAACGCATCATCGTTAATATTTTAATAACAAAGCGCTTCTTAAAGAATATTTCTATTTTATCAATACAACTATTAAAAAATTTGGAGACTCAACTAGTTTTTCATGTAAATATGAAAATAAGATACGAGAACAAACAACTTTGAACTATATCAACCTTATTTTTGTCGGTAGTACGAAAAAAGTTTGCGAAAAACAAAAAAAATACCTTCGCTTATGGGATGAGCCAAGTAACAATGTCTTATCGATTTAATTGGTATTTAGAAATTTTGTTAAGCAAGATTAAATTTAAATGAAGCCAATATCTAGAAATGGCAAGTTAGGCATCAAAGATTGAAATATTTGACTATTGAATTGATAAATATTCATAGAATAATTGATTCGAATCTTACTTATGGTATTTTTTTCTTAAATGAATCTGTTTTAATTGATATTCGACCTCAATATCTGACACATGCATCTCAGTCTCATGTAATGTGATATCTACGATTGGCTAACTTAACAAGTCAAAATAAAGACCAAAAGACATATACATATATGATCTGGTTCTTCGTGCTGTATAAATGGTTTCTTTTATTCCTTATCTTTTCTCAATATCTGGAGGCTGCATTGTGGCCCTTTTATATTTAATAATTGAGTCGAATTGCATCGTTGACTCGTTGTCTATGTGATTAAAACTTTAATATACATTAAAAATAGACTATAGCTGAAATTTTTGGCAACATTAAAAATGCTTAATGATGCTGACCTGCTTTCAGATAACAGTAAATTAAACGACCAAAATAGTTATCCTGAGTATTTACCTGATATTCCATAAATAGTCAACAGCAGAATCAGCAGTATAAAGGAAACTTTTTTTAATGGCATATCTTCTTTTTTCTCTATTGATAGTTTTCTAGTGTTGACTGTTAGAAAACACTTTGATAAAAAATTAATTTATTTCTTTGAACAAAGATGAACCAAAAGATAAATGAGCGTTTTCTATTTTATTCCTCGCTTTTTTGTATTGGTCCATCTTATTCTTTGCTTTTTAAATATCAGCAAGTAATCAAAATTATTTATGTTGAAAACCTAAACTATTTGTCCTACATGATATCTCAAGGTTTTGATCGCTTTATAAATAAAATAACTCCACTACGACTCAACGTTATTCGAAAGCTTTTACCTAATTAAATTAGATTTTGATTCATCAAGAACTAGCTCACCAACCATTTCGAAAAAGTAAAACTTTCAGCTACCATGTAAAATATTAGACTTTTTTCGATTGCTTCAACAATACACGTCAATTTTTTCTCTATTTATTTGAATATTTATCGTGAACATGGACTTCAAATAGTGGAAACTTTTTATTGTTGCTTTTTAATCATTCATTCTGCATATACTAATAGGGTTGAGTTATTCATGCATTGCTTCGCAGCAAGTTATATGTTACTATTCGAAAGTTCTGATCATCTTGAAAACAAATTTGCTAGTTTATTTATGTAATTCATTATGACATATCCATTAACTATATCGCTTCTTTTTCGTAAAAATTTATCAAAAGCAATGTTTATAAAGCAATCTTGCAACACTCAAATGATCTTAAGTACACAATACACATATAGAAATTCAAATAAACATCGGAAAAACAAATGATTATATTTTAACCAAAAGTCTTTATGAAGCAGAAATTACTTCAAATAGAAAAAGGATTAGCTTATACGGCTACAAATGAAGTTATTTGTTATTAATAAGAGATATTTATTTTTGGAACGACATATATAGCAAAACCTTATTATCGCTAAACATATAATGCTTCCATTGACAACTACTTAAATATAAGTATAATTATCGTCGTGTTTACAAATAGCAATAAATATCTACCAATTGAGTTCACATTTAATTGAATAAAAAGTATTTTCTATCATGACGTTGAAAGACAGTTGTCTTATTCAGAAATTAAGCTAGAATTGAAGTCTGTCTCTAACATGATAGAACACTTTCTCGCTAAATTCTCCGTTCTACAATAAAATAAAGATAAAAGTTAACAGTATGATAGAGACCATCTGAAAGGAAGAATAACAATAAAGTTTTTCTGAAAATAGTTACTGTCAACATATCAAAACAAATATTAGCTATATATGTCAATGTATCATTGCCGTCA